CCCCAAAACCCCAAAACCCCAAAACCCCAAAACCCCAAAACCCCAAAACCCCAAATGGAAGGGAGAAAATTGAGATAAATTATTTTTTTCATGGTATGAATATAAATTTTAGAAAATTGGGAAAAATCGATTTTAGAGGCATCTGAGAGATGTTTTGAGGTGTTATTTTGTGTTGGAATTGGGTTTTATGATAGGAAGGGTGTTTTTGGTGGGATTGGAAAGGGTTTGTGGAAGTTTGGGTGAGGAATGGTTGATGTTTTTGAAGAAGGTACATTTTTATAGGATTATAAAAATAAATATGATAAGGACATGAAGAAGCATTTTAAAGAGATTCGGGAATTCATTGCATCAAGAAACTCATCCAAACAAATGAAGTTATATGATATCCAAAAAATTAACCTGTAAGAAACTCAGAATAAATTTTCTAAATCATTTCTCCAAGCTTTCTAATTTGTTCTAAAACATCTATAAACTCCAAAATATGTATAAAAACCTATACATTCTTTTGCATAGAAAAAGACAGTTTAAACCGATAAGGAGTGGACATGACCATCACAGAAATTTCCAATCGGTAAACACCTCCTACAAAATCCAAATCTAATACACACCAGAACCATAGGAACAAAAGCCCTAAAAATCTCCAAAACAGTGACCAAGATACCAAAAGACCTTCATTAGTACACAAAATAATAACTTTCTAGAAACGGAAACTTGTGATCAAAATCAAGAGTATTTTCGATACAGATTCATCAAGTTCCGAAAAATCAAATTCCACAATGAGATCTACAAGCAGCATGACTTTAAAAACCATTGAGGTATCTTCTTATCCCTATTCCTCTCCTCCAACCCCTAACATTCCTTCAGAACCGCCACAACGCCCAAACCTCCCCTCTCGCCTATACTGAAGAGGCTCGAGACCCCTCACTAGCCACACACATCCTAGATGTGCGCACTGAGCACGAGCTCTTGAGCAAGTCTTTGTCCAGGCACACACAAGAGAAGTACGGCTTTGCAGATAGAGTCGCAGTCAAGCAAGTCAACCAGATTTTGGAGATTTGTGATGACCAAGGTAGAAGAAGTGGGATTTTTGGAGGAGCTGAAAGCCCTGGTAGTGGGGAGTGATGTAGCTGTGTAGAAATAATCCCTTGTTTTTGATTTTTTGAGCATTTTGATTGAATTTTTTAGGGCAGAAATTTAATGAACATCCTTATTTTTGTAAGAAGAGGTTGAAACAGTCGGAGTCACAGGGTGATCCTTATCAATCCAGATCTCCTTATTTGAGAAGTAAGGAAATATCATTGGTAAGTTTTCTTTTGGGAAATATTCATTCCTGCTTTTTAGCACTGCCTGAAGAACTGGATATCACCTATCAAAAGATTTGTGCCATTGAAGGTAAGAGAAAATTTTGAAACTGAATTATGGACGACTCAGTTGTGAGTGTCTAATTACTTCTAAATTGCAAACATTTAAGTTCCAAAATAACATTCCTTATTTTTGATATAGACCAAATCTAGCTACTCCAGAAAGCTCAGGCTGCAGTCAAACCCAAGACAGCTGCACCAGAACCAGACCGTGGTCCAGGACCACGCACAAAGAATTGAGAGGAACTCCATGATCAAGTGACTTAAGAATGATTTAAAGAAGTTTATAAGTAAGCGGTTTTTATGTATTTTAGGCCACTCGAAGGTGAGAGGAAGGAGGATGAGGGGTTGGAAGGGGATTTGGGGGTGAATGGGGTTGGGAAGATGATTTTGGGGGTTGGATTTTATTAGGAATTTTGGGGATGATTATCTTTAAGATTTAAGCAAAATTCATACATTTTGGTATATAAATGATTAACTATACTTAACCTTACCGTTAAATTAAAGGCACTTGAGATGAATTTACTGCATGGTTACAGCAAATTCTATAATTCTTTAAATTCTCTAATTCCAGAAGGAATAGCTTAATTTTCTGAGCTGAATAATTTACCAAAGCATATTTATCCTTTTTTCAGAAACAAAAGATTGAGAAGCCTTGAGATATAAAGATCAAGAAGATAAAGCCCAAGACGATCATTATAACTGAGCCAAAGGAAGAGGAAAAACATAAAAATAATCAACCAAAATGTATATAAATCATCTAAATCTGCTTATTTAGTGATGATAAAGCCAGTACTTTCAAGCCTTTTTAAGGATCAGCTTCCAATGGAGATCAGGCTACCAGCTACCCAACAGAAGAGGGGGTCTAGGAACTTTGTCTTTTCAGGACAAAAAACTGCTTTAGCCAAAAGTAACCTGGAAAGTATCGCTATGAATAAGTTCGGATCATATACTCCTATTTAACAGATGTGAGGACTTCAATTGGATTACATTCTATCGGGGTTTTGGGGTTTTGGGGTTTTGGGGATGGGG